ATCCCATTTCTCATTTGATAAAGAAAATGGCTAAAATAGAGAGGACAAAAGACTACATCTTGTCTTATACAATAGGAAAGTTAAAACCCATTTAACTTCAAAACATGAGGATTGTTTTAGAAACTTATATCAGCACTGTGGCTCCAAATATGGAAAATAAGATGTCATAATTATTTTGGAAATTATGGTTATTTCCTAATACACTGAAAACCAAAAGGCAGGTTACTAGCTAGCTTCTTGGTTTTAAGATAGGGAAAAATCCTGATAAATTTAAGGTAAAGAAATCTGATAAAATCTCATATCAGAATTTTAAAGTTCTGATAAACTTAAAACAAAAAAATCTGGAATTAAAATATGAAAGAAGAAAGGTATGGACTTCCTTGGTATAGCTTGAATAAGATTTTTGTACAGGAACCAATACTTTGATTCACTTAATAATCTAATGGAAATACTTTGATAGGAGCAATCGTGGAGTATTTTTTTTCCAGTGCCTGAATAGATTTGGTATTATTAACATTTACAATTTTATGTCACTTGTCCTTTTACTCTCACTGGTTATACATTTTATACAAATATCAATAAAATTTTAAATAAATCTAGAAAGATATATGAAGACAAACTAGGTGACAACAATAGCACCCTGCAACAAAAAAGCACAAAGGCAGCATATAGACACAGCTCTCAGAATCTATACAGTTCATGCGTGGTTTGGTGTGACTTGGTTTCAAGTATCGAATTTCAGCAACTCAACAACTTCCTTAGAGACTTTAAGAGAATTTAAGGAGCCATACTTCTGTTTGAAAAGACAAAGGGAGGGTAATTTGCCTTTTCCTTTTTATTTTCGTTCTTCTTGTCATTCCTTCCTTAAATTTGGTGTGAGGAAATAATAGGGTCTTCACATTTCTAAGTTTATGTTAGTTAAGTGGAGGGAAGATAGAAGAGCTTGGTTGAAATTGAGGTAATCTCTTATTTAGATGTAGAAAGTTACCTGCATATTTTGTCTCATAGTGAATATAATTTTTGAATCTGTGCTATTATAATTGTTCTCTAAAAAGGGAAAATATATGCAAATACTCGTCTGTCTTTATACACGCTACATATGTTTTATATCTTTCTGGGAGATTCACTATCTTCTAATTGTGTTCATTGATCACTTAAAATGTATTTAAAATGGACTTTAGACATAGCATGGTATGAAAGTTTAAAAAGTCCCATGAACTCCCTAAACATAGCTTCTGGAGTTGCTTTCCTGCAAGCCAAGGCTGTCTGATGGGAAGGTGAAAACCCTCCCAGGTACCCTCTCCGGGACGCATTCGGAAGACGCTGCGTCCCACCACGGGTCCCCTGCCCAGGAAAGAAAAGGGGCCTGAGGGCACTGCCAGGGGCCAGGTGGTGGAGGCCCCCCGCTGGACTCTAGGGTAGAGCCCTAGACCCCAGCCCTAGAGCTGGGGGGCCCTTTGAGGGGCTCTAGGGTAGAAAAGGGCAGCTGCCGCTCTGGGTCTGCCCGCCCCAATCCAGCTGCCTCTTTGAGAGGCAGCCCCCAAACAGTCTGAGAACCTGGAAGTTGAAGCCCTTCCCCAGCCATTTCACAGCAGACCAAGGACTGCATTAGGGGGCCTCCAGGCCCAGTTCCTGAGATAGTGGAGTTGTAGCCCTCTACTGTCCCCGGGGTGAAGGATCTGCTCTGACTTCCGCCTTCAGGGGCTTCCCTCCAGTTTACTGCCTGGGAGACAGTTCTGCCTCTGCCCCTGAAGGCCAGAGGGAGAATGGTGGGGTGAGGGGAGTTCAGGAGGGGCCCCAAAGGCAACTCACTCTGCAGAACAGAGACCTTTTGTGAAACTCAAGCCCCGGCCTTAGAAATACATACTTTTAAAGAAAATTCATAGGACCTTTAGAAAATTAGTGAATTCAGTCCCCACATTTTCCAGTTAAAGGCACTGAGAATCTACGAAGGTTAAAGGACTCTCCCTCCCCCCCCACATGATTCACACAGGGAATGAGCAAATATGGAACTGAACAGTTGTTGGAAAAATGACCTTTTATGGTTATGATAAATTGTTAGAGCTGTAAAGCTGAGATTTTGGAGAAAACAGCAGTAAATCTGGTGTATGTGAGGGGGAGTTAACAGCACTCTGCTGTTGTGTCTGTGTTTCTCTTACTTGGCTTTTTCATTTCTAAGGTGAGAGGACTTTCAAGTGTCATCACTGTGATGCTACCTTTAAAAGGAAGGACACCTTAAATGTTCATGTCCAGGTGGTTCATGAAAGACACAAGAAGTACAGATGTGAGCTGTGTAATAAGGCATTTGTTACACCTTCAGTGCTTAGAAGTCATAAGAAAGTAAGTAGAAGCCTTCCGTGAGTTTGAATGGATTACGTATTTTAACCATACAGGCGTGTGTGTTAATTATCATGTGATAATCAATTTTATATGAATTTATCAACATATTTACTCAAAATGACAAACACGAAACCCATGAGTGATAGCAGCTCTTTAGCAAATGTCTGTTTTCTTCATTTGATCAGAAGAGAATATATTTGTCATATGAAAGCAAACCTAGATTCAGGTATGGATGCTACACAGTCCTAAACTATGCTGATAGATGGGTCTAACAGTGTACTCGATGAATGGGAGCTTTTCGACTTTATACATTTTTGGATTAACGTAGGTTCCTTTTTTTAAAGATATTGAGTAGAGCTTTAATAGTTTTATTTTTCAAAGCTAGTTCAGCTATCTATTGACAAGTTATTAGACTGACTGCTTCTAGGATTAGAGTGGTTCTTCTTTATCTTGCATCCCTAGGACCTAGGGAAATTCCTGGTACAGAACAGGGACTTGATAAGTGTTTGCTCAACTTGAATAAGATGATGTTCATACTGATGGTGATTTGGAGATTATCTTATTTGTGTTATGCTAATTACCTCCAGCAAATCAACAGGTTATTTTTACTTGTTGATTAAATACATTTTAAGTATATTTTTTAAATAGCAAAATTCATATTATAACTAATGCAGTTGAAAGTTTTAATGTTGACTTCAGAAATGACTGTGAAGTGTGGTAGTTCTCTGCTGCTCGGCGTGTCCTGCCTAGTGAATGTGAAGTGGCTTCTGTGTCGTTATGACTTTTATTTTGGTACCTGTCCTTAATACAGCCGTTTCAAAAGCTGTATTTCAAAAGCTGGACTGAGTAACTTTCTTTTCTTGTATCTTTAGTGCTGATTAATAATGATACTGTCTTCTCTTTTCAAAGCTCTGAATAGAATACTCTTTCAACTTTCTTTGATTGGATTACTTTTTCATGAATTTAATAGACTTTTGTTATGTTTTAATCAATGAGGGAAAGTATAGTGAATTTTCAAGAAAGATATAGTTGTTTGCAGTAACAGATTATCATAGAATATATTTTGCGGTGCATTGTTCATTTTTGTCTCATACATTTATCCAATATTGTTCTCATAGTGATGTTTCCATGCTTTCTAACCATATTTAAGATTTTTTAGTGTTATACGTTCAATATCTTACAATACCAGCCAGTCAAATTCTGTACCTAATAATAATATATATTTTTGAATTAAGCCAAAAAGAACACTTTAATTATTTTAATTAATATTGCCGTAATGTCCTTTAGTTTGAAACTTACATTACTGAAGTACTATAAGTAACTGAATATAAGTAGGTGAACAATGAAATACTTATGTAGCAGCAAAAGAAATCCTGTGGATTTTATAAAGATACTACAAAGAACTTGGTAGTTTCCTGTTTGGAATAATCCCATGTTGTAGTAATAGATGTATACCATTCCTAAACAACCTTATATTAATCAGGAAGGAATTGCCATATTTTGTCCCTTCTGTCAGGGAGTGAGAAGAACACAGGTCTGTTATATGTTAAAATGTTAGTTATACCATTTCCTTTAAATTGAACCATAATGTGGACCATGGGAGTAACAGCTCTTACTGAGCTGTAAAGAATGTATAACTGTTTTGTATAAGAACTTGTAATGAAAATGGAAAGTTAAGTGCTGCCAATTGAAGAATCAAGGAGATGTTTGTTGTAGACAGTATCATTGGCTAGTGTGGCTGTTGATTAGACTGTATTCCTCAAACTTGAATGTAATATAAATCTTTTTCAAGGGAAAAACATCTAGAGGACACTGAAGTTGACTAAGATATTTCATTTACAACTCTTTTAAAAATTACAAATATGATAGTGTATATCCAAATATAGATTATAATTCAAGTATGAAAATTTATAAATTAAATATCAACCAATAAGGTTATAAACCAATTATATTAAAGTTAACAATTGACTTAATATGGAAGATGAGAATGTTTTGCTAAGTTAGTGGGTTCCTCGAGGTTGTCAGGTTCTGACATAATTACCCCACCCTTTTTCCTCTATCCCAGCTAGCCTGTCTTTCCTTTCTGGGAACACATCATTTTTTAAAAAAACTTTTTAAAAAACCTTTCCTGTTCTTTCTGCATTAGCTCATGGCAATTCAAATAATAATATTTGCCAGTAATTTGCGTAAAAACAAAGGCAAACACAGGCCCTGGTGGTGGTAACCCAGATGATCCACTATATGCTTTTGTTCATATTTAGGTTATCATTGAAGTTAACAATTCTAAAAAGGGTCTGAGAGAATGTGCAGGTATCTGAAGTAATTGCCTCCTCCTTTTCCCTTCTCCTAAGTTTGAAAACCAATGGGACTTGAAAAGTAGCTCTGCCGCCTCATTTATTGGAATGACCTATTTTGATGTTGGTAGAAACACTGGTTGCCTGATGAGATTGTGAGACAAGTTTAAAACACCTCATCTGCCTCCTTTTTTGGGAGAGGTCACTCTTTTTTTCTTTGAACTCTCTTAACATTGTATTGAAACTGGCTTTGGTGATACTCATTCACCTTTTCCTGTGTGGTGGTTTTATGTCCAGGTTAAAGGTATTGAAGGCAGCAGTGATCTTTCAAATTGACTGTTCAGTTAACACCTGCTGAATTTAAAGATCAAATCAGATTTATATTCCTTTTTGCTTTGCAGTAAAATCAATCCAGTCTGACAAACATAATGCAAGTAACAGATTACTTTATTGAGATTAATTCTGTCCTCAAGCACTAAATACACACAAAGAATGTGAAAAATGCTTCTAAGGAAGTGTTTCTTGGCAGCAGTCAAGGGCAACTGTAGCCCCATTTTGATTATGTGGTTTTGTTAACATATACTGGTTTTGTATAACTTAATCATTTTTAGATGGGGGCTCCATAAAGGCTTAAAATGTAAACTGCAGAGTTATTTTCAAATTAACACTAACACACGATTATAAGAGGTTTTTTTGAACCAGTGGGAATAACCATGATAAATTGTTTAAAATCTCATTGTGATATTAAATCATTTTAAAGGAACATAATCCTGGGAAAAAAAGGATTTACTGTTGTCAGAGGCACTTAATCATTTTAACCTCATTCTTTATATTTGTTCTCAACCTTTTTTATTCCTTTCCTTTTAGACACATACAGGAGAAAAGGAGAAAATCTGCCCATATTGTGGCCAGAAATTTGCCAGCAGTGGTACACTGAGAGTTCACATCCGTAGCCACACAGGTATGTAGATAAAAACAACATAGAGAAATCAAATTCTTCCAAGAGAAGTTTATAATTTTACAAGATGACTCCAAGATTTAAGAATTAATCTTGACTGTTTCCTCTCTTGTAAAGTTTTATAGCATCTAGTTTCTTACTCCAGAAAAATTTTGAATAAGTACACTTTCCCAAACTAAGTTAAATATCTAAAGTGGAAACTGATTAATGTTTGGTTGTGAAATAACTGTGATTTACTTTATATACTATTCTAATAGATGGAATAGGGTGTAGCAGTTTCACAGAAGGCTAAGGGCCTCCTCTTAAACATCCCTCCTGTAACTCGCATCAAATGTGGCCTTTTAAAATGTGAAAAGTCCTTGGAATGTGGCTTGAATGCTATAAGATTTTATTGGATGCAAGGGTGATGTGACCATAGTTATCTGTTATGCCATGAATTGCTTCCTAAAGGGTTTTCTTCATTTCTTACAACTTCCTGTGTAATTTCTCCCATGAGGAAGGGCTGTGCCCTAGTGAAGGGTGAATGAACAGCTAAATATTCTTCAGAGAACTTTGTTTGGGTTTTATCTGTCATGTAGAGAAGTTCTTGAAAAGACTTGAAAGAATACTCTTAATTTTGAAAGCCAGATTATTGTGTGTGAATCTTAAGTGGTTCTCAGTAGCTGGACTGTGTTTGGTAAACTGTGTAACTGGATTAAATTGCTGAAGCTTTTTATTCAAGAGCCGTAGTATTTGACTTTCTTTATCATTGTGTCCCTAGCTCCTAGCTCAGTGTTTAGCACAATAACTGTGTTGTGAATGAAGAAATGTTAGTTTAAGCAGGTCAAAGAATAATACTGTGATTATTATACAGAGGTGAAAAAAAAAAAGGACAGCCATGCAGCATAATTTCTTATTTTGGAAATTTTCTGGCTAAAGCTGAAAAGCGTAGGTCAACTTAGTAGTTGTCATCTTAGAATAGCCTCTTAAATACTTGCAAATGAAACATATAACCAAGAACAGATCAAGCATTATACATGATGGCTGTGGAATAATGGGCGCCCTAAAGAAGGAAAGGAGATCTTGACTAGAAGTATCTAGAGAAAGTGAGGCTTTCAGGACAATGTCCAATATGTATAGCAGAAACAGAACACAACAAAAAGAAAAGTAGAGAGAAGCAAAAAGAAAAGGGCAGCAGAGAGTCATGCTGAGGACAGGTGGACTTAAAATAGTGCCAGAGACTGTTAGCATCATGTCCTGATTATACAGAAGAGGCAAGTAAATGATGAAGAGAGAGGAGAGAGAGCTCTGTAGTCCCAGGCCAGCCCTGGCACCTAACAATGTAGTCTTTGACGTCAGTGGGCACCACTCTCTTCTGTGTTTTGGGGGCCATGCGGAATTGTGGCAGACGTGGTTAAGGGCGAGAGTGAAAGCAATAGCCTTCCATTCTGGATCCGTAGTTCTTAGAGGACGTCTTTGTGCCACCCTGAAAATGTAACTTACAATTTGCTCTGCAGATTTTATGTCTGTATGTGTGTGCTTGTGTGTATAATTTGTATATGGAAGGAGGGCAACTAGGAGATGGGGAAAGTGTATTATTTCTGTGTATCACAGTAATAAGTTTATAGTAATGCCCTGAGACATTATCATGTAATTGAATTATGGTTGATATAGTGTGTTTTTAAAAGGCAGTGATTATTGTTCAGAATGCATTAAAACATGTATTTCAGCATAGAAAAGATGAATCCAATCATAGAACACTTGATTATTCAAAATAATTCCACCCTTGAGAATTCCATGTGCCTACATTTTATTTTACTTGTAGAGGATGGGCAGTGGAGAAGAATAAACTTAAACTAGTAATTTCTTCTAAAATTTTAATTATTATCTGCTACAAAGTTGCAATAATAAGATTTTTTTGAGCTCCAAGAATTCTCTATGATAAAAGTATTAATAAATATTTGTAGTTTTTTTTGTTGTCATGTTATGTTCTATAGTATCTGTAATCTAAAGAATATTTTTAAAAATTCAAATCTTTTTTATATGATTTGGTTATTTAAATGTTGTACAGGTTCTGGTTTATTGGTTTCTGATCAAGCAAACTGGCCACCTAAATTCAGACAACAGTGCTAAGGCACAGTCAGCCAACATATACATTTAAATAAGTAAAGTAAAAATATAAAGGTGGCCTATGTGTTTATGTATGTCCACACAAATAGTTGTATAATTATTTATTTACAATTATTATTTACTTATAACTGGATTTTTCTGTTTAAAATCAGACTCATTTCATTTTCACATTTTACAATTCTTCTTTGAGTTATTTTGATGTGAAGCCTATGTTTTTGGTGACAGTTGCCTGGCAGCATGGCTGGGGCTGTATTTGAAGTGGTCGTTGTCAAGCAACAGAGGTGACTGCGGAGACCTGGCGGGTTGCCGGTATCTGGGGTTCCATAACAGTCCTGGCGTGGATTTCTTTTCCTGCATGGACTAATGCTGCTTTTGCTTCTCTTTTTGTTTTTTCTTTTTGTTTGTTTGTTTGTTTTTTGCTGTATGAGGGCCTCTCACTGTTGTGGCCTCTCCCGTTGCGGAGCACAGGCTCCGGGCGCGCAGGCTCAGCGGCCATGGCTCACGGGCCCAGCCGCTCCGTGGCATGTGGGATCTTCTTCCCGGACTGGGGCACGAACCTGTGTCCCCTGCATCAGCAGGCGGACTCTCAACCACTGCGCCACCAGGGAAGCCCTGCTTCTCTTTTATTCGCTTTGTCCTGTCCTCCAAATCACATGCATCCATTTTCCCTTCCAAGCTGGAACCTGGCTCAGTGACCAAATGGGTTTATGTAGTTATTTTGCTTCTGTGATGATAAAGCTCGCATTTTGAGTTCTATAAATTCACTTTTTCTCTCTTTATTATTTCTTCTTATGAAATCACGTGATTTAATTCAGCCCTTTCCCACACTAGGTTTAGTGATTTATGTTTGTGCTATAGGGTAACACAGGTATGGGGTCACAGCCTATTCTGTAGGAAACATTTAGTTATATACTGTTAGGGAGCACGCAGTGAAGTGGCGAGGACCCTGAGTGAAGATGGGGTGGGAAGGGTCAGGACAGACAGCTGATGCAGCCTCTGAGGAACAGGGCCCTCTGGATCATTGGTGCTCACGTTTTGGCCTCAACACTCCATATCATCTCAAAAATAATTGAGGACCCTGGGATGTTTTCATTTGTGTGGGTTGTGTCTGTAGCTATTTACTATATTAGAAATTAAAGCTGAGAACATTTAACAATATTTATTAATTTGTTAAAAATAACAATAAGAAACCCATTACATGTTAACATAAACAACATATTTTTATAGAAAGTAGCTACATTTTTCTAATCAGAAATAATACTGTGAGACGGGAGACATTGTTTTACATTTCTGAAACTCTCTTTAATGTCTGGTTCAAGAGGAGACAGGTCCTCATGTCTGTTTCTTCATTCATCCTGCTGCAACATGTTCTTTTGATTGCTGAATTTGAAGAAAATCTGGCCTCACATAGGTATGCAGTTAGCAGAGGAGAGTTCTTAACCAGCCTTTGTAAATAATTCTGGATATTATTTGTTACTACAGTAAAACTCAAAAAGTGGTCTTTTTTTTTTTTTTAAGGCTTGTGTTGTGGAACTTAAAATCATCTCCGTGAACTTCTCTTATTCTGTCGCATTAAAATCCATTGGTGTGTCTTGCACTTTGAATGATCTTTTACCCATGCATGATTCTATAACATGATGCACAGATCATTTGGAAACTGTTGGCTCACTGAGTTACCTGGATCCTCCACATGTGATAGTGTCATCACCGATCTCATTAGGCAAGTCTTAAGTATTTGGAAGCCTTCAAGCACATGGTAGCATGTACAGATTTTCCAAAATTCTAAATTTTGCTTTGACTGCTCTAATGCTTATGTTTGGTAAGAAACACTTCCCTCCCTCCCTCCCTTCCTTCGTTCCTTCTTTCTTTTGAAACGACAGGCTTCTTTTATTTTCAAAAAACGAATGTTTACCAAATACCAAATCTGAATAACCATATTTTGTATGTCAATCATTTTGTTTCAAGTGAAAACGGTGTTCCATGAAAAAAAGCTGTTAGGTGAGCTCATGACTCAATCACACAAGTGCTTTTCCTTGAGACAACTTTAATATATCAATATGCATTACAAGTACTTATTTCCCATTTTATAACTAAGAATATTAAAATATCATACTCGAGTTAGGGTTTAATAAAACTAATAATTTTTACTTCATCAAGGACATTCTGTTTATGAAACCAGCATGTATTTCTGTTATGAGTGTGTGGCTGTGAAGATGCAGTGATGACTAGTACCATCAGATGCCACTGTCTTGATCTGCACCAAGGCCCAGCAGTTTTACCCACTGTTACTTGTGTACCATTAGTGCAAAATCAACACAGTGAAAAAGGAAAATAGCATAATAATATTATTGTGAAAGTCGTTTTGACCATGAAGACCTCGTGAAAGAATCTTGGGGATCCCCAGGAGTGCACAGACCATATTTGGGGAAATAATGCTCTAGAAGGACCACCTAGCCAATGATAAATGCCTAGGAAAATAGGAGTGTGTGTGTGTGTGTGTGTGTGTGTGTGTGTGTGTGTGTGTGTGTGTTGGGTTCAGGTGAGGTAGCAGTTGGAGAGAAGAATGTGTTGCCTGTGCAGGTAAGGATCCAACTGACAGAGGCCATCCTGTTTAACTGACACCATTTCTCTCATTTGATTGCTCAGACTGGTTTGGTTCCAACTGTCACTCTGTCTTTTGTGATAAATTCTTAAGCTGCTGCTGCTGCTTCTGCTACTGCTACTGAGACATGTTAATGTCCATTGTCATTGCCTTTGCTGGAATCTGGATTTTAAAAAGGCAGGTGATGAGTAGGAGGTGTGCCAACGGTGCACTTTTATAGGTACCGTTTGCTGTTGGGTTGATATGTTATGTTTATGATTGTAAACAGAAAACCATTTAAAGCTTTCCAACT